GTCGACAATCAGCATGGGTGCATACTATGATGACTTGCACGCCACGTCATCACGGGACCATGCAGACGCGGACACGGATACGGATTCCATCGCCACCGGGTGCCCTCGCGCTGGACCGCGGCTGGTGATGCCGAAGCACCTCAAGTGGATGCGGAGCCATGACGCGCTGCTGGCGAGGACGGCGTCGGGTCGAAGATCGACGACAAGCGTTTGTTCAACAAGGTTTCTGATACGTGCAACCATGTCAGTGCAATTTTTGTCTACATCTTCCAGGCTTACATTCCGGTGTCGATTCAGGAACACAATCGTCGTGTCGTCCCGCTCTACGGGCATGCTCAGTGAGTTCGTTTGCAGGCCCTCTGGTGTGCCAGTCTGCGCATGTTGATCCTTGGCCATCCGGCACGGGAACAGCATGATATTTCACAAGACACCGGCAGAACACCATGCTGAAGCCGAACATTTCCGCGAATCCTGCACGCCACAGAAGATAGAAGCATCGACCAATCTGGGGCACCCATCGGACGCGAGTAAGGATCCTCCATATCCTGGGTCTCATTGCCGGCACTGACACACTCCCGCCATAGCTTGCTGCTAATGCTTGCCAGACAATATCAAGAGCATGTAGTTTCTCACTCATGGCTACATGAGACTGGGGAGGTGAGATTTGCATCAGGGCGGCAACCCGGGATAGATTAAATTCGCTCACCATCAAATTACGCCGCAGCTTCTACGATACCACCCGCGCTTTGAGCCCCAGACCGGCGCAAGGAGCAGATGACTTTTTTCCCCTGTGATCGCGTCCTCCCACGTCAACGGTGCACGGAGCACGTCGGCGGGCTGCCCCGGTGCCGGCGACGCGGGTGCATTGCCCAGCAGGATATATGCCGATGGCTGGGCAAGGTCTCGTCAGTGCATCTTTCCCCTCCTCCTCCACCTTCCCCCATCCCCACCCTGACTTGCATGGCTCGGAACAAGCGTTACACTCTCCCCAAAAAGCGCACTGCCCCGTCTCAGCCGACAACCAAGACCGCCATGCCGTCCCGCTCTTCCACCACCGGCAGTTCTGCCTCCACGGGCTCGACCACCGCCATGCACCCGCCCCAGCCACCGGCTCCCCATCAGCTGCCGACCCCTCAGCCAACTCAGCCGACTCCTCAACTGCAGCAGCAGATACCTCAGCCGGAGCTGCAGACGATGGCACGACGACGGAACCAGATGGTGAGGATGACGACGAGGTGAGTCTCTCCACACTTACCATGCGCATATACTCACCATGGAGCAGCCTCAAGATGATGCGCACGCTTCTGAAGAAACACCCTACTTCTCCTTGTATTGGCTTGAGAGGCTTTGGGCAGCAAATCCCTCTCATCGGTAAGTCATCACTAAGGCTGTTTGCGGCTCTACCCGCGGATGATCCGGATCCGAACCCACGATCATGTGACATTTGAGGGCTTGATCTGGATTCGCGCGGCTCAGAGCCGCTGGAAGAGCCGGAGCCGGAGGAGCCGGAACCGCGGATTACGGCTCCACCCACGGATAGACCCGCAAAGTCATGATGATCCGTGGATATCCACAGATACGGATCACACAGATATATAGGACACAAAAATATATTTCATGTTATACTAAATACAGTGGACATTGGATCCAGAGCGAGAAGTTTGTATATGAATGAGATGCGGAACATCTGCGAAGTGATGAGGACCTTGGACAGGATGTCCGAGGGTATCGCGGAGGAGGAAGGGGGCAGGGTGCCGAACGCGGAGAAGAGAGGAGGGAAGTGGATAGGTGCGGAAGGAGATGGGAGCAGGCGCTCCACAACTTGAGGTGTCAGGTGGACAACGCAGGAGGAAGACGAGGCGACATGGGGGCACACGAGGGTGAGGGCGAGACGGGCAAGGTGGGTGAGGGAGGGCGGGCGGGAGCGCAGGCGATGCGGATGGCGCGGAGGGTAGAGCGTGGACGACGCGCGGACGAGGTGGGTGACACGAGTGACGCGGGGCAGGCGGCCGACGTAGGTGAGGGCGAGATGGGGATGACATGGGCGACGGGAACGACGGGGATGCGGACACGGGCAAGGGTGTTGCCCGCGCGGCCAGAACCTGAGAGGGGGAGGTGACGCGGCGAGCAGGGAGGAGCAGAGGGACTGACCAAAGGGGATCGGGACCGCGGGAGCTCACCGCGATGGGTGCGGTGCGAGCGCGATAGCGCCAGGTAGGCGGAGGACCAGACGACGCGGGGGACGGGGAGGGCGAGGGCGACGCGGCGCACCAGAAAGTGCGGGAGGCGGATCTGGGGGATGAAGCGGGATGAAGCGGAGGGCAGGGACGCGAGGCGGAGGGCAGCGTGGGAGGAGGGCGACGAGGCGGAGGCAGAGGACGAGGGCGAGGCGGGGGCAAGCCGGGGGATGGCGATGGATAGGCCTGAGGGTGAGGTGGACGAGTGCGGGATGAGCGTGAGCGCGAGCAAGGACGCGCAGGGAGCAGAGGGGGCGGGGAGAACTCACCAGAGAACATTGGGGCGGCGGGACCTCACCGCAACCCCATGACCCAACTCCCGATGGTCACCTCCTCCTCCTCTTACTGGGGTTGAGAGCGGCTGCGGCGCGAGCGCGATGAGGCAAAGGCGACGTGGGGGAAAGGATGGGCGAGGGCGATGCGGGCGAGATGTGCGCGATGCGCGTGCCCGAGACGGACGGCGTGGGGCCGGGAACGACACCCACAACGCCAGCGAAGACGATGGAGGCGAGAGCGTCGCCAACGAGGCCGAAACCTGGGAGGGGGAGGAGACGTGGGGGAGAAGCGGAGGTGGGGAAGGACTCACCAGGGGAGATCAGGGCCGCGGGAGCCCACCGCGACCCCACAGAACGGCCGCGCGCGGGAGCGCGATGACACCGTGTGGACGGCTGAGAGTGGGGCAACGCGGGGCAGGCAGGGGACTTAGGCGACGCAGAGAGTAAGGGCGACGCGGGGGCGAGGGCGGGCGAGGGCGTGGTAGGCGACGCAAGCGATGTGGGTGACGCAGGCGGGTGGCGTGAGCGACGCGGACAAGGGTGACGCGGGATGGGCGAGGGCGAGGTGGAGGACCAGGGCGAAACGGAGGACGAAGGTGAGGCGGACGCGGTGGAGGACGAGGGTGAGGTGGGCGAGGACATGTGGAGCAGAGGATAGAACTCACCAAAGAAGATCGGGGCCGCGGGAGCTCACCGCGACCCCACGGAACGACCGCGCGCGCGAGCGCGATGGCACCGCGTGGACAGCTGATGGGCGACGCGGGGCAGGCGGGGGACTTGGGCGAAGCAGAGAGGAAGGGCGATGCGGGGGCGAGGGCGGGCGAGGGCGTGGTGGGCGACGCAAGCGACGTGGGTGACGCGGGCGGGTGGCGTGAACAACGCGGGCGGGGGTGGAGCGAATGGGCGAGGGCGATGCGGAGGACGAGGGTGAGGTGGGCGAGGACACCAGGGTAGAACTCACCAAAGAAGATCAGGGCCGCGGGAGCTCACCGCGACCCCACGACGACACTCCTGGGCTTGAGGACAGACGCGCGCACACGCGCGATCACGCGGCGTGGTTGGAGGATGGAGGCAGGAGGAGCGGGAGCGGCGAGTGCGGGGGGCTGGAGATGAGGACGTGCAAGACGCGCGCGTTCGAATCCGAACACTGCCCGATCGAGACGGATTCCCGCGGGCAGACGCCGGATGCGGGCGCCAAAAGCGCTCGAAGTGAAAGGAGAGAGTAATGTACCAATATCTTGGTCACATTCCTACCAAATTATACACAAATGGCATCATTAAAAAGGTGCTTCAATTGGCTTTCGAACGATACAACTTTTGTATTTGGTACGCCCAAATATGGTCTATTGCTCAAGAATCTGCGGATAACCCGCGGATAGAGCTGCAGATCCGCCATTTTTCGGCTGCCTTGATCCGGAGCCACTGGGAGCCGGAGCCGCAAAGAGCCGGAGCCGCCCGGCTCATGATCCCCGGCTCACGGCTCCGGATAATCGGCTCCTGACCCGCGAAGTGAGCCGGACCCGCGAACAGCCTTAGTCATCACTCACTTGTACCCCGGCCATTGCTCACCATATCTCCACTATAGCCGTCCGCAACGCCTGGAGCTGGGTACCGACGATTTGTACTGGGGGAGCCGTACCATCCTTCGCATGGGCGGTTTCTATACGCCGTATAAGAAGTTGCTCCCTCTGTCCCTCATGGAGATCGGCTGCGATGATGATATGATGTACGTCCCACACAATATCTTTGTTCATTTATTGCGCTAATCACACACCAGTACTGATCATGCCGATTGGGAGCATGATCACATCATGCGCCTTTATGGCGACGTCTTCAATGTGGTAATGGACGAGTTTCCAGAGTTTGCTAACCATGCCGAATATATGAAGACAGTCGGTTTTGATGCATTGGACGCTGTTTCTTCCTATGTACGTCATACCAATCTCTTCGCTCCGACCACTATATGTTGCAATCTCATCTGGTGTCATAGATCATCGGGCTCGGTGGGTGCATGCGTAGCGACGACATCAGCCGCATCAAAAGGAACCCCAGGAACTTCATCCCAATTCCTCTGACAGCGAGCGGTTCCGTCGAGGTCGACAAGCTGAAGGCGTCTCGAGGCTTCAATGACCCACGAGGTTGCGGAAGTTTGCTTGTTCCCCTCACCCAGTACGCTACATACTTGGCTGATCCCGAGGAGTACGTCGCTATCCTGCTTGTCTGTACGTTTCTCACTGTGGCACAGGTTCGCAACACGGGTCCGCCTCGCGCTGATCAAACTGGCACCTGACGACTACCCTTGCGCCTTCTTTGACTTTGACAAGTTCCCGTCCGATGGCTCCGGAGTCCCCTCCGGTCACGAGCTTCGAGAGGCGTTCCTTCGTGGCCCTCTGTTGTATAATGTATGTCATTGACCCATTGTCCGAGCCGTTGGCACCAACATCTCACCTTGTTGACATAGTTCTACACCGCATTTTATATCGGGACCAATGAGGACCCCACGGAGTCTAAGCGGGGCCAGAAGTCTGTCGCTGCCAAGAGCGGCACCACGCACTCCACCATTCACTCCATTATCTACGCTGCGACCCTAGTAAGCCTCCTGTTCTCTATCATTGCTGCATCTCACTTGCTCACTGTGATGTGCCCTATACCAGCTGCGCTTCATGCTCAGCGACCAGGTGTTCTGGTCGGAGACTGATTGTGGTTTTTCCAATCGCAAGTTCTCGGACTCCGTCCTCCTGATCTCTGTGAAGTACCCTCAGTGGACTGAAAGGCTCCTCAAGTACTATGACCAGTGCGTGTTCACAAGGACAATCCGGTCCCATTCTGGCTCACGTCCTCTTCCAGAGTCTTTGAGTCTGTTAGAGAGGAGCACGAGTTCGTCATTGGCGGCCAGCCAGACTCCGCTTTCTCTCTGATGTCCGCTTAGTTCAAAACTGAAGCCCGTCTTCGCTCCCGCTCTCCCATTGCTCTCTTCCTGCTGTTCTCTGTGCTGTTCCATGCTCGCTCGCTCTGCAGGCCCCGATCGGCCTGCATGCTTATCTCTTGGTACCACTGAATGTACTCACTAGTACTCACTGCTCTGTATGTTGTCTGTTATTTAATCAAAAGCGCGATTTTATCGTGCACGTGCTGTTATCAGATTGTGTGATGGCTACTAGTTCTGAATTGATGGCTACATGTTGAACACGTCTTGCCTGATCAGCTTATTTGTGTGACTCGGTCGTTTCTCCCGCGATGAACGATCTCCAGAGTTCGTATCGTCCGCACACGCCGTTCTGCAGAGATCATATGGTTGGTGCACCCCGTTCCGATGCCGGTCGTCTGTGGGGCGACTGCCGTTCTGCACAGCTCGTACCACATGCATGACCCGGTCTAACTCGACCGTCCCCGCACCCGTCAATGGCCTGTGCTGACCATCGCGCTGCGGTATCTGGATCAACACCGGCCGTTCCACCCCCAGCACCTGTTCAGCAGCGACCAACCCGGACATGGGAGCCGATCTACACCGACCATATGTTCACTTGAGCACGGTCAATCTTGGCCATGTGCCGCTGGCGCTCCGACCGGTGCCGATCAACTCTGCGCCTGTCAACGGCCGGGCCAGATCAGACCGCCGGTGGGTATTGGCCATTATTGATCTCAAAAGACAATTGTTGGTCAGGTTTTACCAGCAGCAGACCAATGCAGACACCTACGATCGACGCCGACAGACCTTGGCCGGCTTCGATCTGCCTCCGATCCTAGTTCCCCCGGTTTCGTGATGTACGCCAGGTGAATTCGAACCGGGGGCCGGTCCGGCGTGACCCCCCCGAAATATTCGAACCGACAGGACTTGAATGAGCGGGGTCCACCGTTTCCTGAGACGCAGAGCACTTAGCCTTGCCATTAATTGGCTCAGAACACGTCCGAAACGCCGAAACTACTGTGGACGTGCGAAACGAGCTTGCATGCCAATAAGCGCTCATCCAACGGTTTCGAACTACGGGCTTGTGATGCGTGACTGACCCCCGAAATTTCGAACTTTTGGAGCGCGTGTGACGCGTGACGTTCGAATAATTCGAAATGGTACAGTACGCTCTATCCGACGATGGGAGGACGACTACAAGACATTAGAGCAGCCGGATTCTCTGTGGTCGCCGCCCTCTGCTTCCACCCGCGGTCCTAGAGGATCTACAATATCTCCTCGCCCACCCTTCGATGTACCTCCACGAAGTCGTCAAGTGGTGCAAACCCACGGTATTCGCATCTCTTTCACAACTGCCCACCGTACCCTCGTCCATCTCGGGTTTTCGTACAAGAAACTGTGAAAGGAGGCAGCCCAACGCGACGAGATTACCCGGCATTGGTGGCACGCCCGGGACGAGTCAAGCAAGAACAACCGACCTGTTCAAAGGCGGTATGGGTGCGCTTTGAATGGGCAGCGTGCTGTGAAGAGGATCTCGGCTGACCAGGGCCGACGCTTCTCCGTCCTCCCCGCCCTCACATTGGACGGCATTCTCACCGTGTGGGTGGTGCAGGGTTCGGTGGATGGTGCGGAGTCCTACGATTGGGTTGTCACAGAGCTGGTATGTCAGGTCAACTCGTCTCGGTCCTCATCCCGTCTCAGCGGTCTCTTTGATAGCTGCCCAAGATGAACCCGTTCTCGAGCCCAAATAGTGTTCTCATTGTCGACAATTGACGCACACACACGAGTGAAGCAGTTTGCGAGGCAGTGGAAGCAGCCGGTGAGTGCGGAACATGCTCTTTTGGCTGGAATTTCGCCGTATGAACGGTGCAAAGGGTGTCTGCTCATATACCTTCGTCAGCAATGGGACCACATGGGTGGAGACGACGCCTTTCCGGAGAACGAGCTCATTGAGGCCTGCTATGCTGCTGTCACCCCGGAGAAGGCTCGCGGCTGGTACAGGCATAGCGGTTACCTGTAGGTATATATTGTAGTTGCTTCTGTGAATTCATGCTTCGGTCCCGACGCGAACACCGTTAAAGCTCTCCCAGTCCCTACCCGCGCTGCTTCATACGTGCACGATGGCGTTGCATCTCGCGCTCGCGCTCTCAAGGTACCACATGGGGTTGAGCATGGTCAGTCTCACGCGGTGCATCATGGTGGTCGTTGTGTGGAATGTGCTCGGCGCGCGGGGCGACGGCTAGTGCTGTACGATCCTCGTCGTCATCATCAACAGTGTGCTGCAGGTTGTCCTCTACGTGTCGCTTGCGCTGCTGTGGATTGTGGCGTATTTTGTGGTGCTCAAGACGATGTCATGCGTATTCCTCGAGATGTGCTTCCTGCCGTGGCTCTCGCCGCCCATGACCAGGCAGGAAGTCGTGACGTGCGACAAAGACAAAACCGTGTGTCGCGCATCTCTCTGTTGCCTTCTGTGTCGTCCATGTGGCGGAAAGATATGTAGAGCCAGTGTTAGAGCAGGAAGGAGGTAAAAACAGTACCGTACAATGTGTCGCTGGCACGCTCTCGCTGTCCAACCCCAATTTTCATCATTTTCCGAATTTTCTGCGTCGCTCGCGTCGGCTCGCGTCAGGTCGTGCGCGCGCGGTGAGACTTTCCCGAATTTCTCCGAATTTTTCGGAGCATTCGTGCCTGTTGCCGCTCGCGTAGCGTCGGAGTTAGTCGGGCAATCATTTCGGCAACAGCTGTAAGCGACTCGGCGTGGGAGACGTCAGCGCTTCAGCGACTGGGCTGCACCGATCTCTCCTTTTCCTTCTACCTCTGTTCTATCTCGGCTTTGTATCCTCTGCTCTCTCTGGAATCTATGATCTTGCTCTGCTGCATCCATTCATGCTTCACCGACGAAATCCATTTCCCGCAAAGGGGCACACCGCGCACCACTCCCGCCCGGGCTTGCTCACAGTCTGAAGCACCGATCCAGCACGTTCCAACGTATGACCTTGTCGATCTCTGGCCTTAGGAGAGGGCAACCGTCCCTCGTGCTGCTTCACCGGCGGTGGGTGCGCTCATAGGTACGAAAATCGCTGTTCCCTCCGGTGCGTGTGCTTGCCCTGGTTCGTTGTGTTGTTTTTTTATATTCGATACGCCCGCCATTCGTTCATTCAAGCCTAAGCGACGCGGGATATCCACGCTGTTTCTTTCCGAATATTCCCTATGCATCCGCACCTTCAAAACTCCCCGACCGCAGAACCATTGCGTCGCCACACCGGATAGTAACTTCGGCTGGTGAGGGTGGAAATTGGTGACGTCCAGCTTCCCCTGAGGAGATCTTCTGGCGAAAGTGACACTACGGAAAGCATGGGAGACGTGGTGGAGGACGTCCGCTGCGGGGAAGGCCGTGGTGCGTACTCTCCCACGTTGTGTTATGGACCGACTCCTAAGCACGTCTTTTGCCCAGTGCGCCCCGCCGTCAACACGTCCCCAGACCACAAGGCTCACCTCTCCACCGCCGATGGCGACCATGCACCCCCTTTCCCTCAACGAAGACACTCTTCGCAGTAGGCCGCCGATGCTCTCTCAATGCCGTACGCTTCCGGTCTCGCTTATTGCCTCGCCATTTCTCAAGACTACTCGACGATGTCCTGGTCCAGGAAGCTCGACGCGAAGGGAGAAAATGGCTTGCAGGTCCAAGCATTTTGTGAGTACCCGTGAACCATAGTCTCAGAATCGGTCATCTCCGCCAGTTCTACCTCGTATACTTGTAGTTCAGTGCTCTCCTAATTGCAAATCTGTTTCTCTGCAATGCGGCTCTATCGGCCTGAATCGCCGGACGGCGATCGGTGCAGTCCATCTGGGAAAGCACACGTTGATTTCCTTGCCCCGGTCGCGCGACCATTCCGATACCCTAGAGTAATCCCATACCTCGCAACTCCCTCGTGTACAATCTTGGTTGCAAGCGTTCGGCTCACCTTCATCTGAGCCCGACGTCACTGGTAGATAAGTGTTCTCAGGCTCTCGACCATGCAGTAGACCCAGGCAATCGTGAGGCAGACGAGAGGCTCCTTTCCCCCGGCAGGGTTCGCAGGGTGCGTCCTCGTACCTCTTCGCGGCACTGTCCTGCTCCCATATGTAATGTGAATATACCCGGTGAACAGACGAATGGTGACTGAATGCAGCCTCCATCCAGGCTACCGTTCATAATCTATCTTCGTCCCGCCCAACGATCGTTCCCCATCCGTTGTAAGGATGGCACCCCGCCTCTGGTGGGACGTCTGCAGGTTCGGAATAATTGAGACGTAGCCGGTGGAAGCAGCGGGTGCGGGGGATCTGGGAGACGGGATCACGTCCGCGCACGTACTCCACAGAACGCTTTTGGCGGCGGATTGCTGTCTTTCTCTGCCTCAAAATCTCTACCCCAGGCCGAGGAGAGGTCAGGGATCGCGACGCGATAAGAGGGACGGGAAGCGCGGCCACCGGGAGAGCATCGGCGGGCTCTCTTGGGATAAAATTGCGAGGAACGCGCGTTTTTGAGGGAAAGGATGTGCATTTCCGTCAACGTCAAGTGATGGAGGAGGGTTTTCCTGGGAACGCTGAACGCTGAGATGCGGGTTCACAAAGACAGAAGGAATGCATTGGTGTGAAAGGTCGCTGATGGCGCAGAACGCACGATATATATGTTGCCGAGGTTATAGAAGACGTACCACGTCCCCTACTGTATGCCCCTCGCATTCGCCCCAGCTATCCGCCACTCCCCTTCGCCTTCTGCTCCTGCTGTAGCTCCATGTCTCCACCAATCTCCACCCTCGCTCTCCCACTGCCTGCGGCTGGCAGGAGTGAACAACACAGATGTTCCGGGGTTTCCGTCCTGAAGACACGAATAGGGGCAGATGAGGAGACGACGCAACGAACCAGGGCAAGCAGACGCACTGAAGTGATCGGAGATATTCGCTTCTACATCGCTGACAAGGTCGTGCGAGCAACAGCCGCCTTCCCCGACGATGGCAATCATGTAGATTGGCCCCGAG